CAGTAGTAAATGTATTGTTGAATGTTTGTTCATCTTAGTAAATGCATTCATTAACATTAACTAATGAGCCTTATTGTAAAGTGTGACCAGAATTTCTTTATTTGTGGTTGATACAGGTGCATTTGCAGGCTGCTTTCCAACATGTTTTTGTAATATGGTTTATTGCCATTTATTCACTGTGTAAACTAGCTGCACACAGATAAACCGCATCAGTGCCCTCTTTAACATCCACCTCCAGAGTCCATTCCTTTTTCCCTGTACCAGACAGTTTATAGCCAGACTCAAATCCCTTCTCATTAGAGTCTGAGTTAACAACGTAGCTTCCAATAAGCACCGGTCCTTCTCCTTTAATGTGCCTGTACCAGTATTTGTAGTCATAGTCTGTATCATTCTGGTAACAGTGCATTTTAACTGAGGAGCCTAGACGATTGGATATGTACTTGGGCCATTGAGTGATCAGAACAGCGTCACTGAAACCTGCTGGAAAATATATAGACAAAAATTGGATTAATTAGGAATGTACATTTGGTCAGAATCATGAGGATGGTTTTAAATAACTATTTTAGGTCAAGTAATTCAAGTAACACCTTTAAAACAAAGCAATAAGAGTAAAACAAGAAAGGAGTCCATTTAGAGTTGCTTTTTGTGAAATATTCTCTGAGAGAATGACTTTTTTTCTTTAAGACACACCCTTGTTACTTATGTAATGGAGGGAAAAAAATGATGATGCATCTTCTGGTCTGATAGGCTTCTGAACCAGCACGCTTGAAACAATGCTTTACATTAGAGATGCCCAAACTAGGGCTTGTGGGCCAAAGTTGGCCCATGGTCATTTTTGATTTAGCCCACCATCCCATCTGAGAAGATAAAGGAAGAATGATGGGGATGGGGATCGTTTAAAATTTTATGTAACATTTTATTTATTTAGATTTAGATTATTTATTTAATTATAAGGTTCTATCTGCGTTCTGAATGATTTTGAGATATTGAGCTTTAAAGTTTTTGCATTCCATATAGCAAACAGTATGTGTGTAACATTTGATTTTACATAAAAAGTCTTAATGTAAACAACTTATAAAAAAACACCCCATCATGTAAATAAGTTGTCATTTAATATGAATATGTCATCATGTTTCACATGTTTAACTACGAGAAATATTTTTAAAGGTTAAATTACAAAAAAAAATTACACATAAATGTTAGTAAAAAAACTTTGAAATGGGTGAGTAAATAATAACAGAACCTCTTTTTTTTTTTTTTAATAGGACAAATGACATACAGTTGCAATCAGAAATATTAAACTTCCTGAGTTATTCGCCCCCCTGTTTAATTTTTTCCCCAATTTCTGGTTAACAGAGAGAAGATTTAACACATTTCTAAACAATAGTTTTAATAACTAATTTCGGTCCCACTTAATATTAAGTGTCATTAAGTACTATGTACTTGCATTAAAAAAATAAATACAATGTACTTACTGTGTTCATAAAGTATTTGAGAGCACTTGTGGTGCTCTTGAGTTGGGATAGGGGTTGGGTTAAGAACAGGTTTGGTGGTGTGGGTAGGTTTATAGGTGGGTTAAGGTGTAGGGAATGGTCAGCAGTGTATTTACAAATGTAATTACAGAAGTTAATTACAGATGTAATTACATACAGGTATTTAAGCAAGCATAAGTACACAATAAATACATGTATTTACACAATAAGTACATTGTAACAAACTATTAATTTCTATGTAAGTACATATTAGTTAAGGCCACTTAATATAAAGTGGGACCCTGATTTCAACCAGAAAGACTTTAGGAGGCAGATAAGCATATGAACATTTGTGAATTGTTTTCATAAATGCGAGTTTGTTACGGTCCTTTTATAAAGTCCTTTGGCATAAGCCCCGTCTATAGTGCAGAACTCTGGATGAGCTGGCAGATCCTGCCTGCAGATGAAGGCAGGGCGAAGCCAACCCCCTGAGTGGAGACGAGGCCGACCTAGTGGTGGTGGTGATGGGGACGCCACCTCAGTACAGCGAAACAGATTGTTAGGATAGGAACAGATTGTTAGGATGGGCTCATATATATATATATACATATATATATATATATATATATATATATATATATATATATATATATATATATATATATATATATATATGGCTTGCTTGGTTGTTATAGGCTGACAAGATAATTATTATGAATGACATGACATCTCAGTCTTCCTGGTAGAACTACTGTTTAGCTAAAGCTTTCTAATAACTGATTTATTTTATCTTTGCCATGATGATTGTAAATAATATTCTACTAGATATTTTTCAAGACACTTCTATACAGCTTAGTAACATTTAAAGACTTATAGGTTAATTAGGTTATAGGCAGCTTAGGGTAATTAGGCAAGTTATTGTATAACGATGGTTTGTTCTGAAGACTAACAAAAAATATATAGCTTAAAGGGGCTAATAATTTTAACCCTAAATTTTTAAAAAATAAAAATAAAAAACTGATTTTAATCTAGTCAAAATAAATCAAATAAGACCTTCTTCAGAAGAAAGAATATTATCAGACATGCTGTGAAAATTACTTTGCTCTATTAAACATAATTTGGGAAATACTTAAAAAAGAAAAAAAAATCTAAGGGGGTTTAATAATTCTGATTGCAACTTTAAATCTAACATTAAAAAATAAGAGATTGTCAGTAGTACTGTCTTAAAAGGATGACTGCTTTAAAGAGTATTAGATATATCAAACCAGAAATCCGCCCATCCACCACTGCTTTGGTTTCCTGTGTGTGCTTGAGTTTTAGTAAAGCTGTAATTTTAATGTGTAGCACTGTGCTTACTGACAGCACAGTAATAAACAGCAGAGTCTGACTGACTGAGATCAGAGATTTCCAGAGCTCCGTTCCGTGTATCTGTCCGTTGGAAGTCAAAACGCTCTTTAAATCCATCCTCATTGCTGGGTTCACTCATGTCATATCTGTAACTGATTAGAACCATTTCTGTATTTTTCTGCTGGTACCACAGCATAACATACATGCTACTGTCATCATGACTGCAGTTCATCACGGTGTTGCCACTTTTGTTGGCAAATAAGGACGTCACCTTTTGTTCGACAATCACACATGTCGCCTTCCCTGCGGAAGAAAAAAAATTAACATGGTTTAAGAAATAGTTCGTTTGAAATGGATAAGTTATGATCAAGGTTACCTTTCAAATGCATTATTACCTATGTAAAAAAAGATAATTATGCACAGCCCACATGCTGCTCTTAACATTCTTATAAACAAGGGTTAGAAATGCTCATAAACACAAGAAAGAGAGTATGAGAGAGAAAGACAAGACAAAACTCTACATGAAAGACCGATCTCTCTCCCTGCCTGCCTGCATCACTTAAGAGTGACCTTGATGTGAAAATGTCTTTGGTGAAAGGGAGGAGCAATTTTTGCAGGCAGCGTTCTATAAATGGTTTTGCATGTATGTGTGTGCGTGCGTGCGTATGTGTGTATAATATAGTTACTATTGGCATTTGTAATGAAGCTGGCTGGTAAATTTCTGTGTTGTTCAGTTGAGATGAATTTAGTCAAAATCCAGGAACTGACTTTATGTCCTAATTTAAAGCTTGTTTTCACACCTCTAGTTTGAAATAATTCAGGAAAGTGGGTGTGTCCAGCTCTGTTTAGGTAGGAGTGTCGGGGGAGGGAAAGAGGAAAGGTTTTGCATAAAAATGAGAGTTTCCGATTGAGCATACGCTGATTTTCACAGAGGCAAAACAAATCACAGATGCAGAGGAGAAAGACAGTGGGCCTGTTTCAGTAAGGAGGTTCAAACAACTAAGAGTTTAAACTTGAACTCTGAGTTGATTTACAGAGAGATTGAAAACTCAGAGTTTTCGGTTTCAGAATAGCGGATCTGAGTTAGGTCAATCAACTTTGAGTAGACCAACTCAAAGTTAAGTGCGCACACATCGACTATAAAAAGGCATTATCAATGGAGCGCAGATATGTGTGATGTTTATACTTTTTTTCTAAACTTTTTTACTCGTTTATCAGATTATGTGAAGTTTAGTTTTAAACTAATTTCGAGAGGAGCATGTGCTCATGATTTACCCAGCTGGTCCACATTAACTAATTATGATCCTCCAATCGAAGGATCCCAAATCACTATATATATCCTCATTTCCTTTCTACAACTATCTTCGTCTGGAAGAAACCCCCTTCCTCCTTTATCCAGAATGGGCGGCACGGTGGCCCAGTGACTAGCACTGTTGCCTCACAGCAAGAATACCAATGGTGTTGGGTCCTCGCTGAGCCATCTGGTATTTCTGTGTGGAGTTTGCATGTTCTCCCCGTGTCCGCGTGGGTTTCCCCCGGGTTCCCCGGTTTCCTCCCACCTTCCAAATGTGCTCTATATTATAGATAAAACAAGCCTAAACCTTTTTTATAATGTCTTACTCTCAGGAAGTTCGCCTTGGCCTCAGCAGCGGGGGAGTTTGAGATAGACCTGAGCTCAATCTCCACTCGCCCTGCAAAAGGGGGGGAGCCCTGGGCTCGAGGATCCCTTGAGCTCAGGGCTCTCTCCCGGGACAGCATGCCAAACAAGCTATGTATAAATCATGAGCTAAGTGTGAACTCTTGAAATTATATTTTATAGATTTAACAGTGCACTTGTGTGTCTGCCTTTTTTCTTGATCAAGTGATAGAGTTTGATATAACATTTAGAAGGTAAGCAGTACTAAAAATAATTTTTAGAAAGAATAATAATCCCATTAATCTAGTTAAAGTACATGTCGAAGGTCAATGCATTTAAGCTAATTATTTACTGTTCTGTGTGTGACTAAAAGGTAGGCAATATCTATGTTTATACAAACAAGATGCCACCACAGTGACAGTGCGCAAATGTTTTATTTCTGAGAGTATATCATTTTCATGTACTGAACTCTTATTATTCAACTATACCTAGGTAGCCTATATCGATATTTTCATTCTATGGCACTTTGAATATTTAGGGAGAACCTCTTTTGGACTGCCGGGTGAAGTCAAAAGACTTTAAAGTCAACTGGTTTAAAGAATATTAGATATCAAAATAGATATGTGAAAGCCATACACAACTGTTTTGGTTTCCTGTGTGCTTGAGTTTTAGTAAAGCTGTAATTTTAGTGTGTGTCACTGTGTGTACTGACAGCACAGTAATAAACAGCAGAGTCTGACTGACTGACTTCAGAGATTTTCAGAGCTCCGTTCAGTGTATCCACTCTTTCCAGATTAAACCGCTCTTTAAATCCATCTTCAGAGGTAGGCTGATTGATACCATAGCTGTAACCAATTAGAACTATTTCTGTATTTTTCTGCTGGTACCACAGCATAACCTGCATGCCACCATCAGCATGACTGCAGTTCATCACGATGTTGTCCCTTTTGTTGGCAAATATGGACACCTTTAGTTTAACAATCACACATCTCACCTCTCCTGTAGGAAAGAATCAGGCTTTAAATATTTTTGATATCGAGTGGATTTCAAAAGTAATGATCCAAAGGATCAAATGAACTCTTCTTACCAATATAAAACAAGAAACATATCCAGAGTCCATATTCTGCTCTTAACATCTTTTTGAACTAGGGTTATAAAAAACCTATGGTTGCTCACAGCACAAATAAAGCGACAAGACAGAGAGTATGTAAGATGTAGTAAGAAAAAAAAACTCTCCCTACTGACTTCAGAGTGACCTTGATGTAAATGAGTTTTTGGGAGTGGGAGGAGCAAGGAGATCCTTATGTATGAGTTCTCAGGCTATGAGTCCGATTGCATCATGATGTATGTAATGATATGAATTCATTTCAAGAGTTCGCACTTAGCTGATGATTGATTATAAGCAAGTTTGGCATGCTGTCCCGGGAGAGAGCCCTGAGCTCAAAGGTTCTTGAGCCCTGGGCTCCCTACCGTTTGGAGGGCGAGAGGGGAGCCTTGAGCTCAGGTAGATCTCGACAACTCCCCCTTGATAAAAACTGATGACTAAAAATTGAATGCTATGAAAAGATGTGCTACATGGTGAGAGATTAACTGTAGTCCAAATTTAGATTTTTCAATTGTTGTGTATGTTTTTGGAATGTGGGAGGAAACCGAAGGACCCGGGGAAAACCCACGCAAGCACGGGAAGAACATGCAAACACACCTGTTAAAGGACTAGAACCGGTGACGTTCTTGCTGTGAGGCGACAGTGCTAGTCACTTGGCCACCATGCTGCCCTATGGAAGGAAAGGTGAAGAGGTAGGGGTGGAAGGGGGGATTCTTCAAATCGAAGATAACTATGATGAAAAACCCTGGCTTTTTATAGTGGGTTAGAAATGGCCTGATCGGTGAATCATGCATGCTAATGCCGAACCAGCCGTGTTCAATCATTATCACGTGCTCCTCTCAAAATTAGTTTATGAATAAACTTCACTTGTTTGGGGTTGATGCAGCACCAATCCACTCTCAATAGCTCTGGAGTAGATCCTCCTGACACCCTGCCCATTGACTTGTGTCCTCTGTAGTGGACATTGTGTTTTCATGAATTGTCTTTGAATTTTTTTTTGAGCTACTCTGTCAAGTCATTGCACTTAACATTTTTTAATGATTAATGAAAGAATATTTTGCTTTGTTTCATTGTTTATCTTTATTTACAAGTAGCTGAATATTTACAGCTACTGTATGGGCTTTTCCAGTTCGCTCGTGTCCCGTCCCTTTGTGCCCCCTGGTGGCATAGTCGCAAACTGCAGTCATACCTAAAAAAAAAGTTCTTATTACTGTATGCTGCGTTCACACCAGACGTGGAGGAAGCATCAAGCGCGAGTGATTTACACGTTAAGTCAATGCAAAGGTGGGAATAGACATCCTGCGCAAATAAGGCAGCGCGAATGACACCGCGCGAGTTGAGCGTTTTGTGTAAATTGCTCGAGTTTGAAAATCTGAACTACAGCGGACATTCGTGCTGCGTTTACCAATCAGTTAATTGCCCTTAATAACCAATCAGCTTGCCCTTTTTTTCAGGGGGGATGGGGGGTGATTATGACGTTGCGTCTGTTGTTGGTGTCCCGGGGGAAAATCCTCCTGCTGACACCAACACCAGTTCATCAAACTGGGCTCGGTTTAGTCAGAAGCATCGTTGAAAGCTTCCATCATCCAGGTACAGTTTCTGTACGAGTTGACGAGCTCACAGAGCTGGTGCACCTCTGATCTAGTAGACTCAGACACGGCTCTAAGCGTATCAACGCTTTTTTTCAGCCTTCCTAAAGCACATAAACACAGTTATTCTTAATAAAATCCATGTTAGCCCTTTAGCAATGAAGCTAAAGACCGTGTCTATTGCTCAGTGAATTTGACGCGCGAATAAAGCGAGTGAACTCAATGTTTACGCGTCTGTTAATGCGTGAATAGCATAATTTATCCGCACGTTCCACGTCTGCTGTGAACACAGCATTAGAACGGCAGCAGTACAAGGCGTGGAGTAAATGGCAATATTAAAGCGTCACCCACTGTACAGTAATACTTGTCAGTTTTGACTTTGTGGAGACATTTTATTTTTTATCTCCATTTGGAAAACAACTCATAAATCACACATAATGAAGTATTTTAAACATTTAAAATTAAATAATTTAAAAAAGCATTTGTTGTAGGAATGGGATAGGGGTATACTCCTGTAGTCTGTAAAGCATAAAAATCATTATGTCTGTGTTATGTCCCCATAAAGTTAGCTGTACAAGTGTGTGTTTGTGTGTGTTTCCTGTAAGTTTGGTGTTTGGTTTTTAGGCAAGCTGGTAATAAAGATTACAGCACTGTGCATACTGACAGCACAGTAGTAAACAGCCGAGTCTGACAGACTGAGATTGTTGATTTTCAGAGTTCCATTAAATGTTACTTTTCTCTCCAATTCAAACCGGCCTTTAAATCCATCCTCGTACATGGGATCACCGGTAGCACCATAGCTTAACACAATTAATGCCATGGCTGAGTCCTTTTGCTGATACCATAACATATTTGGCTTGCCACTGTCAGAATATTTACAGCTTATTTCTGCCCTATCATTCTTATTGGCTAATTTAGATGGGTTCTGTTGGACATCAGCACATCTTGCATACCCTGTAGGGGACAAAAACATATAAATACCAAATAGATCATAATTTTAAAATAGACAGTCACACATTAACATTAACTAAGACTTTTAGCTCAATAAACAATTAGTTAGCTGCATATAAATAGTTAGTAAGGTAGTAGTTGGGTTTAGGTATTGGGTTGGATTAAGGATATAAAACAAAACCACTAAGGCAGTGCTAATAAATCGTTAATATCTTAATAATAGGCTGGTAATAAGCCAGTAGTAAATAGTGTGAACTATAGTGTAAACTTAAATATTACGAAATAAATTATATTATTTTGATATTACTAAATATCAAAAAGACAAATAATAATTGATCTTAATGTTATCAAAAAGAAAACTTACCTAAATACAATATTAAAAAAACACACACTCTGTATACAGCTCTTAACATCATTGTAAAATTGTGTTAGAACGCCTCTAGTTTCACACAGAATATACAGTATTGTAACAAGACAGGAAGCTAAATGAGAGGAAATACTCTACATTAAATAAACAGTCACATCTCCCCCTGCTGACTGTACCACATCAATGATTTGAAAGTGGTTTTGGCGAAGTAGGAGCACAACATCATTAAATAAACTGTATGTATGGCATCCCAGGTTCTGCTGTATTGACTGTGGATTACTTTATTTGTGGTTGATACAGGTGCATTTGCAGGCTGCCTTCCAACATGTTTTTGTAATATGGTTTATTGTCATTTATTCACCGTGTAAACTAGCTGCACACAGATAAACCGCATCAGTGCCCTCTTTAACATCCACCTCCAGAGTCCATTCCTTTTTCCCTGTACCAGACAGTTTATAGCCAGACTCAAATCCCTTCTCATTAGAGTCTGAGTTAAAATTGAAGCTTCCAATAAGCACCGGTCCTTCTCCTTTAATGTGCCTGTACCAGTATTTGTATTCATAGTCTGTATCATTCTGGTAACAGTGCATTTTAACTGAGGAGCCTAGACGATTTGAAATGTACTTCGGCCATTGAGTGATCAGAACACCATCACTGAAACCTGCTGGAAAATATATACAAGCAATAATAGGTTAAGTTGTTTGTTAAAAAATATAGCGTCACTGTTCATTTTTATTCTTATTAAATAAAGTTGAGCCTATTGGCTTTACCCTATGTACCTTTAAGACAAAGCAAAAAGAATAAAAGATAAAAGGAGTCCATTTAGAGCTGCTTTTTTAGTTTCTGGTCTACGGTTACTTTCAAAATAGCTAATGATGATATACCCCATTTTGTAAGACACACCCCTTGTGTAGACATTGGTGCTTAATTTGGCAGACGCTAGCTTGAAATTAGCATATTGCACACTCTCAGAAATAAACGTACAAGAGCTGGCACTAGGGTGGTGCCTTTTCAAAAGTTACTCATGTGTACTTGAAGGGTCCATATAAGTACCTCAGAAGTATGTATTAGTAAATAAAAGTTTGAAGAGAAACACTTTTGTACTTTTTAGGTATCAATATGTACTCTTGAGGTATTAAAGGCACACATTTGTACCTTATAAAAAAAGAAAGCTACCAGCCAAGTGACACCTCACGTACCTTTATTTTTGAGAGTGAAAAGTTTAAACTAGTCCTAAAAAAATAATGACATTTAAATAATAACCCATTTCAAACATTTGAGTAAAAAGGATAGTGATGATGATTTTTAAGTATTTTAGGTCTACATTTTTAATGATCCAAAGTTTGTCAGACCCCCTAGTTTTCGCTTAATCCAACGTAAAATCAACAAAAAGTCTGAAATATTTGTGATCCTTAATTAAACGCAAAATAATCCTAAAAATTTTTAATAATCTTATAAAACTTCAAATTCCAAATCATATAATAAATGCATTTATTTCCATTTGCAATGAATTGTTTTACATGACTTATAGACTTTACATACGCAGCACACATGATGTATTTAAGTGCCTCTTGAAAAATGACAACTCACCTGTGCCCTCTCAAGCATTACATTACATGGTGTTTTGCAGCATGTGCAGTAAGCAGACGCAGATGAAGTGCAAGTGATTTACATGTGAAGTCAATGCAAATTGGGCGTTTTTTGACACGCTTCAGACTGCAAAAAAAGTGTGAGCAAATATCTAAAAATAGAGTGATGGAACAGACAGAACCGATAGTATCTGGATGAAGTATAAATAGTGTCACTCAGCGATGCAATGTCAGACACAATGCACTCAAATGGAGCGAGTGACGTCACTCTGAGGGGTAGGGTAAGGGGTGGGGTTAGGTGAGCCCATTAAAAAGCATTGGATGCAGTTCAGATTGCACTGCACCAGATCTGCATCCAGATCCCTCTCGACAGAACAGCAAGCAGCTAATATGATGAAGACTGGTTCAATCGATGGCCGCTGGACTTGATCAAATTAAAAGACTTAAAAATTAAAAGATTAAAAGACATTATTTGTGCTTTACACGTATGGCTGGTAATATGATGTTCATGAAATCGATAAGTAGTTTCATTTAACTCTTTCCCTGCAGTTAACGAGAGAAAGCCAAAACACTTCCCCACGACGAGTTTTACAGCAACCCGCGTTTAGGTGTATTACGGTAGGGGAAGCCCTATCACATTTTCTAGGTACATGTCAGATGCTCCGGGGAGCGAAATCTGAGAAAGAGAAAAAGTAAGTCCGTGCATAAAAATAAAACAGCCTTCCTTTGGCTTAATCCCTACCGTTTTAGATCTGTTTAAGATCTTGTCTTGATAAGAAACATATATATATATATATATATATATATATATATATATATATATGTATATATGTATAATTAATTTAATATTTAATTATTGTAATAATATATATATATAATTTAATTAATTTTTTTATCGCAAAATTGTCAGCAAGTTCCTGGGAATTACTGCCACAAAATAAGTCAATTTTCTTGCGGAAAATCACAACAACAACAAAAAAACACTGGTCTGCTTTGTGTGTTTGTGTTGTCCTGGTACAAATATCTCCATTAGTATATAGTAAAAACACAGTATATATATATATATATATATATATATATATATATATATATATATATATATATATTTTTTTTTTTTTTTTTTTTAATTTATTTATTTATTTACATTTTTTAATAACCCCAACATTAGAAAAAAAAAAAACTTTCTATTTATTTATTTATTTATTTTTTATTTGTTTTTTTTTGCTACAGCTGTATACATTTAGGATACAACGGTTGTACTTTGGGTTAATTTTGAACCATAAAAAAAACATTTTTATACTTCCTATATCTACCTATATGTTGTAGGTAGAGAGACAGACAGATGGATGGATGGATGGATGGATGGATGGATGGATGGGTGGATGGATGGATGGATGGATAGAGAGACAGATAGATGGATGGATGGATGGATGGATGGATAGAAGGATGGATGGATGGATAGAGACATAGACAGATAGATCACTTCAGTCACTTCAGATTTTGTTGCTGATTTAATTAAACTTCAAGTTCAGTGAGTGTTTTGATAGGACTTGGCCTGCATTCGAAATTCCATACCTCCATACTACAGTACATTTGAGCTGAGTAATATGTCTGTGTTCATAGTATTCAAAAAACAGTAGACGAGAAGTACCTCGGTGACGTACTTCTTCAAGTGAGATTCTATAATGCTCATCGATTGGATAATACATGCTCATGATGCCACATGGAAGAAATGGATGTGAGTGTAGCGACCCAACTGACCCTGGCGGAAAAAGTACAACCTAATCCAATTCATACTACTCACATTCATAGTATATATTGAATGTACTTTTTAATAGTCGTGTAGTAATTTTTTATTCAAATTGTAGTATCGCTCGAGTAGCCGACGATTTTAAATGAACTTGGTGAACAAACTTAAGGCTTTCCAAACATGGCTGCCATGTGAAGAGTTCCTTGAAAGGGACTTTGACATATTACTGAGATGTTAATGAAAATGTGTTCTGACCAAGGGAAGAGTGTAACATTGTAATGTTTTTAACTTTGTATAATGTCAGATCTGTATGTGGGAGATCTCAGGTTTAACTGCATAGTCATGGGTTTATTTATTTGTGGTTGAGACAGGTGTTGTTGCACGTTGCCATTCGAATAGTTTATGTCATGCAGTTTATTGTCATTCATCCACTGTGTAAACTAGCAGCACACAGATAAACAGCATCAGCCCTTTCTTTAACATCCACCTTCAGGGTCCATTTCTTTGTCTCTTTATCCGGCAACTGAAAGCCAGTTTCAAATCCCTTCTCAAATGATTCAGAAGTCCCTATGAGGGTTGCAATAAGCACCGGTCCTTCTCCTTTGATTTGCCTGTACCAGTATTTGTAGTCATAGTCTGTATCATTCTGGTAACAGTGCATATCAACTGAAAAACCCGGAAGACTGGATATGTACTTCGGCCATTGAGTGATCAGAACACCGTCACTAAAACCTGCTTGAAATAAAACAATAGATTAGATATATCATCAGATAAAAATATATATTGGAGAATACCATAAACATATTGTATCGATTTTAGTTTATTACGTTTAAGAAAAAGCAGTGACACGCAGAGAATGACAAACATCGTCATTGTAAAACTTCCAAACCGTTCTTTCGATCCTCTCTTCATGACAGGCTACTTGTGCTGCTACTAGAGATTTTGAAGACACTCCTCTTAGTTACATCATACCGTGCTTGCGACAAAAAATTCAGGTAAAGTGGAGGAGAGAAATAAATGCAGTAAAGTTCATTTTAAAAAGGGGATGTGTCATTTGACATTTAGATTTTTGTTTATAATGTAAATTACACCCATACTGAAAACATCAGCTGTTAACATAAGAAGAGTTCAGATGCGTGCGTCTGTTTAAAACACGTGCGTGCTCCCGTTTCCTTGCTTGAAACAACCGTGCCTAGAAACACAACTGGTGTGATGGATTCTCTTTCAAATATACTGGACAATAAGTTGTTCATGTACCCACAGCCCTGGGTCCTCATGTATCAACGCTGCGTACGCACAAAAACTTTGCGTACGGCAGGTTTCACGCTCAGAATCGCTCACGTTTGGATTTACTAACGATGAACTGAACGTGGGAATGTGCGCAGCTCCACGCCAGCTTCATGGCTGGCGTACGCACATTTTTTGTGCGGGTCTGTTTTATTTCCTTTGGCGACTCTTAGAGGCAGTTGTGTTAAATTGCTCTCTACAAAGTGTCTGAGCCTTGCAATGGCAGCTGTATGAGACGGGTTCATGTAGCAGGTATATAAGGTTTCCATACCATACAGTTGACCAGCCAAACATTAAAGCACAATTTGCAGCGGTCGCCTGTTTTCCCAATGTAATCTGAGCGATCTACTGCACGCACATTGCTATAAAGACACTATCTGAAGATGAATTTGCATACGTGAATCAGAAACATTTCCATTCAATAAACGTGCAAATAAAATATGATGCACAAACTTATTAATGATTCCTACTTGTCTTTCTCGTGATAAATAGTTGGCAAAATCTGATATGTAGCGGGGGAAAAAAGAAGAAAGAGTTCTTCAGACACTGGATTCGAAGCGAGTTCATGCTCGATTGTGTCTAATCATGTTGACGTGCTTTACAAGCTGCGCCACTGAGACTGTTAGGGGTGCTGCAACATAAATCACACTATTTCTTTTTTAATTCACTCAGTGCAATGTTCAGACCCAACTGTGTTAACCGCATCAGCTAAACTCTCCCCAGTCAATTTTTATTTATTTTTTTTTTAAATTCCGGAGAACAAACTTGCAAATAACACCGCTTTTCTCCGGTCTACCTCCAAAAGCAGCACCTCCAATTCACATTCTGTTCAAAGTTTCTCTTCTTTCTTGCTTTTGCCTTTGCTTTTTCGTTTGGTTTTGCCAAAGTAGAGTCATTAGCATATTCATACGGGGGAGGAGGCAGGGAGGGGTTTTGTGCTCGTGCATGTTGTGCTCAGTTTCACGTTCATTCGGATGCATTCTTGTGTTTTAGTATGATTTCCACGCAAGTCTTCGTACATGAGGCCCCAGCTGTTTTCAAGAGCTCCAGATTGTTTTTTTTGAAGCAGCACCGGTTGCTTTCGTTTTAACCATTATTTAAACAGCATGAAGGATATTAACTTCCCATTTATGTGTAGTTAACTGGTGTCACCTGTTTTTTTTTTTTTTAAGAAATGTTTTGTTAAATAAAAAGCTTAACATACAGCTATATTTTGCTTGTTTTGACACATTATTTAAAATGTATGGCTAAGAAATAATTTATTTTTAGAGTAGTCAGAGATAAATTTGGTTAATCCTTACACACACTATGCTATCCGTACTGTGCCCAGACCCGTTTTCCAGATCGTTTGAGAAGTGCGAGTGCCCTGAATCGGGCTCAGGCACAGTTCACTTGGGCTTTGGCGCGGTACGCTAGTGTGTAAGTGCATAATGTGCCAAAGCCCGAAACTGAAAGCGAGACGTGACTTTTAAGGGACTGTTTCATATGGATTTATTAATCACTGTTACTGTTCAGTGAACGCAAACTGCCGTAGTTTATTAAAGATGCAAACTCCTCACTGCACGACAGCTGCACCTTCAGCAAACCTCCTAATCCCGGCAGCACGAGAGCTTTATGATTGTTTATGATCATCAAAAGTGGCTAATCTGTTCGGCGAAATATCTGACTGCGTGTCACCGCATCCCTAAGGACTAAAGCGATATAACTAGAGAAATCTCCACTGTGCTGAGCGAGAGCGCTTACTGATCAGCGCAGAATCGATGACGTAAGCATGCCCAGGCTCGATTGTGATGTGAGTGCGGGCCGTCGGGGGAGACGGGAAGGGGACAAGCGTGCTTAAGTCCGGTTCGAGGCAACTGTACATAGTGTGAGTACGCCCTAAAAGTCAAGTGAAATAAAAACTAATTGTATTACAACACTATGAAACCATGACCCATGTGCTCATGCTCACTGAGCAAGCTCATACACAACATACACAGGAAGTAAAATGAATCAGGAGGCATGTGGACGCAAAATCTAAATCAAGTAATTAAAGCATGTCAAAGTCATATTTATGCATACAAAATCTGTTTTCCCAACGACAAAATTGTGGCTAGTGAAAATGGCGAGTTATGTTGGAAAACTACTAGCCACAGTGGCTGGTGATCAAAAAAGTTAATGTCAAGATCTGATAGTAATGTAGTTGTTGGTAGGGATGGCTGACGTGAAACTGACGTTTCGCCACAGTGTCGAGATCCCGAGGTGCAAGTGTTTCGAAAATCTGCACCAAAGCATGATCCGAAACACCCATTCACCCAAGTGTTTTGAAACATCTGGGGCCTCATGTACGAAGACTTGCGTGGAAATCTTACTAAAACATTGCGTACGCACAAAGCTGTAAATGTGCGTACGCAGAAAAAAATTCAGATGTATGAAACACTGCGTACCCCGAATCTCACGCATATTCTTTTGTACATCCGAATGAACGTGAAACTGAACGCAACATGCACGAGCACAAAACCCCTCCCTGCCTCCTCCCCCGTATGAATATGCTAATGACTATGCTAATGGAAAAACCCAACGAAAAAGCAATGGCAAAAGCAAGCAAGAAGAGAAACTTTGAACAGAATGTGAATTGGAGGTGCTGCTTTCGGAGGTAGACCGGAGGAAAGCGGTGTTATTTGCAAGTTTGTTCTCCGGAATTAACAACAAAAGAAAAAAATAGAGTGGGAGAGTTTAGCGGATGCGGTTAACACAGTTGGGTCTGAACATATCGCACTGAGTGCATTAAAAAAAAAAAAATAGTGTGGTTTATATCTGTAAAATGTTGCAGGATGCTTAATAGTCTCAGTGGCGCGCTCGTAAGACGCATGTGATCGTGAATTGATACGTTCGAGCATGGACTCTGCTCGAATCCAGCGTCTGATGAACTCTCTCTTCTTTTTTCCCCCGCTACATATCAGATTTTGCCAACTATTTATCACCAGAAAGACAAGTAGGAATCATTAATAAGTTTTTGCATCATATTTTATTTGCACATTTATTGAATGGAAATGTTTCTGATTCCCGCATGCAAATTCATCTTCAGATAGTGTCTTTATAGCAATGTGCATGCGGTAGATCGCTCAGATTACATTGGGAAAACAGGCGACCGCTGCAAATTGTGCTTTAATGTTTGCCTGGTCAACTGTATGGTATGGAAACCTTATATACCTGCTAGATGAACCCGTCTCATACAGCTGCCATTGCAAGGCTCAGACACTTTGTAGAGAGGAATTTAACACAACTGCCTCTAGGAGTCGCCAATGGAAATAAAACAGACACGCACAAAAAATGTGCGTACGCCAGCCAGAAAGCTGCTGTGAACCTGCGCACATTCCCACGTTCAGTTCATCGTTAGTAAATCCAAACGTGAGCGATTCTTAGCGTTAAACCTGGCGTACGCAAAGTTTTTGTGCGTACGCAGCGTTGATACATGAGGCCCCTGGTCACGTTACTAGCGTTTTGAGACCTTGCGAATTTGCATTTGACTGCCAGGGTCAGAAAAAATATCTCTCTATTACACCCTAGTGGACTGTGCCTGTGTATGCTGATACTGTATGTTAAATGATTTTTTCAAATCCCGACTTGTAAAAATACTCCGAAATCATAGTTTTATGTATTTTAATCATGTTTCTGTTTTATGGTGTAGTCTAAATAGGATACGCCATCATTTTTGTAACACTGTTAAACAATAATTTATATTTTACAGTACCGTGATGGTTGGGTTTAGGTAGACATCAATAAAATATAATAAATGGGAAATTTATTTAATAATATAAATAATTATTGTTAACCTCTAGCCACAACTGTGTCTGATCTAGCAACAACCTTGTTTTATGACCAAAACAAGACAAATTTATTCACAAAGTGTTTATTCGGATGTCAGACCAATGTTGAAACAAAACAATACAAGAACAAAGCATTACCAACTGGTATTCAATTTCAAAATAGCTGTATTAGCCTGGATTCGAACCCACTCTCCCCGAATGGTAGTCGGAAACCTTATCCGCTCCACTATATCAGTTGAAGATTCATTTCTACAAAGTGGTGTTTAATACCTCAATTTGCTCAACTGTTCTTTGCGGAAGCTGTTTCAGTGCAATACATACATAACGACCACTAGGTGTCACCGTAGAGTGGGGTTTCGAACTGTTCGAAGCTTCGACACATTTGCTTCGAGTGTTTCATGACGCCTCGCTTTGCCCACCACTAGTAGTTGGGTTTGTGTCACGGGTAGAATAAATAGGAAAAAGGGAATGAGAGACAGGTGGAGCGAATTAGCTCAAATGACCTGTGCCTCCGTGACTGCGAATAAAAGCAGGTAACGCAAGGTAATCTGTAACCCCTACTGAAAAAACTGCTTAAACCAGCCTAGGCTGGTTGGCTGGTTTTAGCTGGTCGACCAGGCTGGTTTTAGATGGGTTTTGGCCATTTC